ACCACCTCGCCTCGCAAGCCAGGGTCACAGCTGATAGTCTGGCTCTCCCAGAAAACACCAGCACTTTTCAGCCAATCACCCCCAAAGGCAGCACCCCTACTGGACCCCCTCCAGACAACCCACCTTCCCCAGGGATCAACCTAGGCGCCCTGGGCGCACACCCCAGGTCTGCACGCCCAAGGCACAGGGTCAAGCACCCAGGCAGTCAGTCCAGGCTGAGATTAGAAAACTGTGTGGTCCCGCCCGCTGCAGCCCTGAACCTATCATCAGGGTGTTGAAAATAGATCTGTGAGGAGGGCTCGAGCCACACCCAGCAGCGCTCTGGCCGGGCGGAGCTGGAGAAGAGCCGACTGGCAAACATGCAGTGCTGGCGGGAGAGCCTGGACGCTGCTGGAGCCAGAGCCCTCGGGTGAGCCCAGAGCACTCCTGCGACAGAGTCTGCGTGCTCCTGCCTCAGCAGGAGGGGGCCCTGCACGTGCTCCCCCTGCCACCCCCCTTACCTCCCCCTTCTCCTGCCATAGGCACAGGTGCCCATCAGAGACGAGAGACGGGCCCACTGGTCCTCCGGGCATGCAGGCTGCAGCTGCCCCAGACACAGCCTGGGCACAGACGCCATCCCCGCGGTGTCCTCCTGGCCCGGTCCTGCACCTGCTACTCAGGAGGTGGCGCTGGGCCGGGGGCTCTGGCTCCCTCTCTCTGAGGGCCAGGTCCCCAGGAGCCACAGTGAGGGAAGGTGTGGGAGCCCCCCAAGGGCTGACCCAGCCTTCCAGGGGCTTCTGTGCTGGAGCAGGGCCTGCCCGTTGGGGCCAGGGAGCTGTGTCCAGCCCCCCGCCTTCCCATGTGGGAGAGGGCAGGCCCTGGGGACATCAGACACACCTGGATAACACAGATGAGGGGGGAGGAGGTTGACCAGCACAAGTGGGAAGCACGTGGCATCCATCTACCCCTGGCTGGCCGGCACAGGCCTCCAGGCCAAAGAGGACGCTGTGGGATGGACCCCAGGTCGGCCAGGTGCTGGGGTGCAGAAGTTACAAGGAGGTGGGGGTCCAGGCAGGAGCTGGGCTCCTTGGGGCCCAGGAATCAGGGGGAACAGCTTAGCCCCACTTCTGCAAGTCTCACTCCAAAAGAAAAGACAGGGAAGGGAAAAAAGATGGGAGGAGACGTGGACAGGCATCTGAGAGGCGACTGGCCTGACTCATGAGGATCCGGACCGGGGGCAGTCTGTGCCCTCCATGCTGGTGGAGGTTCTCCAGAGACAGAAAATCGGCTCAGTGGCCCTTCTAATGAGTGCTTTCCAGGAAAATGAGGTAGTGAGCCCTCTGTCACTGGGAGTGTGTAAACAGAACACCCACCTGCTTGCGATGTTATGAGGGAGTAATTTCGGCTTTAGGTGAGTGGCTCCACCAGACAACCTTCACTGTGTGTTCTAAGTCCCAGGGAGGGAGGCAGGGGCTCTTTCCTCCCGCCGTGAGGCAAGGGGTTGCAGAACAGCAGGGATGAGCCTGGTCAACCCAGGACCGGCTCTCCCTGGAGCCCCCTTACACAGCACACCCCCAGCCCCGGATGCCAGAGGCTGTGAGCCGCAGGCGTGTGCGTGGAGGGCGCACCGGGGCAGGGTAAGGCTGGGGTCTGCAGGAGAGAAAGCCTCTGGTGCTGGTGGCAGGGGGGAGAGGCCAGCTGTGCCGCAGTGCACATCAGCTGGGGAAGGGACACGGGCCAGCAGTGAGAAAGCAGCTGTGACTCCAGGCGACCTGATCCTGCTCCACCTTGGGCCCTCACCTGGGGAGCCTGGGCCTGGGGGTGGACACTCTGACCACCACTGTCTCCTGCCAGGAGCTCCGGACACGCCCCTCCACGTGTGCTTGTCCTCAGGGCAGAGGAGCAGCCAGGAGCCCTCCTTGGCCCATCTGCTGCTCTCAGCTGCAGAGCGGGGCCTACAGCAGCTGGAGCGGGGCGGCCCAAAGGGCAGGGGCAGGACCCAGGAGGAGTGAACCTGGAGGAAGGGTCCCACCTGCTGCCCCTGACTACGCGGGGCTCCCCCGGGCTCTATGAGCCCGGGAGGATCGCCCCCCCCCCCCACTCCCTGTGGAGGCTCTGGCACCGCAGCCCTGGGTGGAGTCGCGGGCAAGCGAATGTGGGCGAGCTCGCACACACAGCCCGTCTGCCCGGGCATCAGAGCTGGGAGGACTCCCCAGAACTCTCCACCCGGCCAGTGTGCTGAACAAAAAGGAAAAGCGCTGCTGGAGAAGGCGGTTCCCTCCCCCTGTTCAGGGATCCCTGAATGCAGCCTCTAGAGTAAGCCCCGCCCCCTGAAACACCCCACAACAACCCACTGGCTCAGAGACAGATAATTTCCTGACTTCCTTCCCCTGCTCTGCTTGGCCAGTGCCTCCAAGGGCCTATCCGTTGTCACGGCAACCCCTTACGTGGGTCCAGACGCCTTCTGAGGAGGTGGGAGCAGGAACCCAGCCGCTTGGGTCCCTCTGCACCTGACAGCCAAGCACCTGGAGGGTGGAGGAGGGGGCGCCTCCAAGGGAGTCAACTGCTGACCGACTGGAGGGGAGGTCGGGATGGGACTGCGTGTGCGCTGCTCAGTTAGCACAGGCTCTCATGCTTCGGGGCAGGGGGGCATCGTCAAGGTCTGCTCGCCTCAATCTGCACCCCTCCCCGGTCCTGACACTTAGGGGAGCCCCCTTCCCAAATGGGGAACCTGAGCTGCAGAGAAGGCCCCGGAGCTCAGGACGTCTGCACAGGGCGGCAGGCTGCAGACTGCCTCCAGCCCCACCCCAGGCCGGCCGTGACCTTCACCTGGGAGGTGTGGACCCTGGAGTTGCCTGCGGTGGACTGCCCACCAGGGCCCAACGGCATCTGAGCCCTAAGATGGGCCCCTTTCCTCCGGACGCTCACCCTCCAGCCTTCCAAGTTTCCAGGGCTTCCCAGTGGGACCCTCGCTCTTTGGCAGCTCCCAGAGCAAGGGAAGGGCAGGGCGCCCGCCTGGACCATCTGGGCCCCAGCTGACTTCTGGGAAGCCGTGATCAGCTTTCATTCCCTTTCGTTCCAGAAAGGCTCTCATGTGGGGCTGCCTCCCCGCCTCCCCCAAGGAATGGGCTGGGCAGCTCCTGGGGTCTGGGATGGTCCCAGGGTAGGCGTGTCCTGACACTGAGCTCACAGGTGTGGAACCTGTGTCTCTCACCACCATCTGGAGGTGCCACCCTCCTCTCCAGGGAGGGGCCTGATGACACAGGCACCTCCGTGGGCTCCGGGGTCCCCCCACTCTACTCACAACAGGGGCTCTGCCTGGGGTCACGGGCTCCTCCCACGCCCCCCACTCCCTCTTCAATGCCCTGCCCTCCTGGGGCCATCCGCCCATCAGCCCCACCTGCGGTCAGTCCAGAACGTTTGCCAGTGTCCACCCCTCTCCCCCACCAGCTTTGCCATGGGGTCATCAGGACCAGTCTGGGGGCCCGCGCCCAGACCAGAGCTTGGCCAGGCCCCTCTTCACCTGCCGACCCCCTTCCTTCCATCAGGGATCCGCAGACTCCGCCTCCCACCACGGACTCAGGGTGATTGCAGGGGGCTCCCGCAATCCCTGGCCAGGCTCTGACCCTCCATCTCCCTACCTCGCTCCTCTCTGAGACAGGCAGGTGCCTGGGGGTGTGAGGGGCTACAGCTCAGCCCCTGCCACCACTCCCGCCTCGCCCCTTCCCCGCCAGCTCCAGAACTGTCTGTCAGGGTCTCTGTGGTCACTGTCTCTTGAGAAGGGCCTCAGCCAGGCAGCCTGGTCCTGGGCAATTAGGGGACTTGCAGGCCTGGGAAGCCCTGACCTTGAAAGGGGGCGTGCCCTCTGCTCGCCTGTCCCTTCCCTCCCCCAGACAGGCCACATNCGCCCCCGCGCGCGCACGGACACGCCCCTCCGCAGCCCCCGGCGGAGCGGGCCGCTCCTGGGGACCCGGGAAGCCGGGTCCCTCGGCCCGGGGGACCCACATCCCCGCCGCCACTACAGCGAGTCCGCGGAGCGCGGGCGGCCGTCGGCCCCGGGCCTCGCCGCTGTTCTCCTGGGCACGACCGCGCTGGCCCCCGGGGGAACGACCTTGCCCCGCGCCTCGCGGGTGCCTCTCTCCCTGGGCGCCGCGTCCCGAGAGAGTGGGCGCAACCCCGGGCCTGCTCTGGGTTTGCCGCTCTGGCTCCCCAGGCCGGAGAACAATGGAGCAGCTCTCCGCGCCTCCTCCGCCAGGGAGCTTTGTTCCTCCTCCCCGCCCGCCCGGCCCCGTTAGCCGAGAGGATAAAGCCTCCCGGTCGGCGGGGAGTCTCCGCGTGACCCCCAGACCTCTCCCCACGCGCTGCACACCGGGGGTGGGGTGGGGGTGCGGGCCGCAGCCGGGCCGAGGTACAAGACGCCTGTCCAGATGCGCGCAGCTGGCTGCCCTCCGGCCCCCAGGCCCCAGGAGCGTCTCCCTGCCAGAACACCCACACCCGGGAAATCCGACCCGCGCTCCCGTCGGGGATCCGCAGAGAAAGCGGAGCCTCGGCACTGCTCCGCGGCCGAACAGCGCTCACCTCTGTCCCCCCCACAGCTGGCCTCTATCCCGGCGATGCGCTCCAACCCAGAACAGACCACGACGTGGCTGTGGTCTCCACCAGCCCCCAGATTTTGCCGAATGAGGACGCTAGGCAGGCTTTAAGATTCCAGGAAGCTGATGGGCTCTATCTCTGAGAAGCTAAGCCCGGCACCTCATTGTCCACCCTCACCTCTGACAGGCCAGCGCCGAGCCGGGGCTCTGGCCCGGGGAACATCCACACCTACCGAGGCGCACTTCGGCCACATGCATCTGGGGGTGGGCCAGTTCCGGCACATCTGGGCACAGCGTCCCCGCACAGCCCGCCCGGGGTCCGCAGAGCCCCGCAGCGGGGAGGGGGCAGCGGAGTGAGGCTTGCTCCCCCCACACCTTTCCCGGCAGCGCGAGGGGAACGACAGGGGTGGGGCGGGACGCAGGACTCACCGAGCACCTGGCTGAAGAGCAGCTGCTCCAGGTCTCCCAGCACGGTCACCACGAGCTCGGGGTCCACCTTGAGGAAGGCGCGCTCCTCCTGGCCCTTGGCGGGGGGCGCGGGCCCGGAGCCCTTCTGCGCCTTGGCCTTGCTGGAGAGCAGCTCGTCGTCCGACTTGGCGTCGTCGCTCACGGCCGCCTCGGGAGCTTTGCTGAGCGGCTTGACCTCGGCGTAGGGGCCGCGCGGGATGCGGCTTGGCTTCCCCAGGCTGGGCGCGAGCGGAGCCAGAGGGGTCTTGGCGCCGCCCGCCGGGCCGCCCTTGGCCTGGAAGAGCGAGTGCTCCGACCTGGACAGCGCCCTGGACATGAGCGGCGCCTCGCGGCCCTTGGGGCCGCCCCTGCCCGAGCCCTTGGGCGCCTTGGCCATGTCGTCGCTCCACTCGGGCTCGCACAGCTGCAGCTTCTTCTCCGAGTCCGTGAGGAACGCGAGGTTGGTGAGCGACTTCTGCTTGCGCAGGTTGGAGGCGGGCGGCCCGCCGGGGACTCGGCCGTCCACGCTGCCGGACTTGAAGACCTTGAGCTCCGCCGCGCCGGCCTTGGCCGTGCCGCCGCCGCTGGGCGCCTTGGCGCGCTTGGGCAGCATGGCTCTGCCGTCCTAAAATTTTAAATCGATCAAAGAGGAACACACGCCCAGAAGCTCGCCGGCGTTCGGGATGCCGGGCGCGGATCCCGGGCCCCTGCCTGCCCGGCCGGTGGGTCCCGCGGGCCGTGAGCCGCCCGCCAGCGGGAGCGAAGGCTGCGGGCTGCGACTCGGGGCGCAGGAAGGAGGAGGAGGGCGGCGGAGGGGAGGGCTGTGCGCGCGCGCGGAGCTGGGCGCGAGAGTCTATTTCTGTCTCGGGAGGAGGTGGTGTCTGCAGCCGAGATCCAGGGGCGGAGGGGTGTGGGGATGAGGGATTCGACCCGGTTTTCTCCTCGCTTTCGGGGCAGGGCGGGCAGGATCTGGGGCACGGTGGTCCCCTGCCGCGCCCGGGGGGCGGGGGCGGTGGGAGGGTCTGCTGAGGCGGTGGGGGGTGCAGGTAAAGGGGACTAAGGCTGGAAGCTCGGGACTCGGAGGGACAGTGGGCTGAGCGGGCCTGGGGGAGAAGTCGCTCGGACGGGTGGAGAAGCCGTGTCGGGGCGCCGGCTCCCCGCCCCCACGTCTGGGACACTCCCGCCCCACCTCGCATCCTCTGCGAGGCTCAAGGCTGCCCTCCTGAGGTGGGGACGTCTCCGGAGGACCGGGACGGGGGCGGCTTGGAGAGACTGGCCTCGTGGACTGGGGAGGGGCCTCCGAGCGCTGGAGAAGGGGGCTGATCTTGACGTTTGGGTCTGACTGCGTGACCTTGTCAAAGTCACTGCAGCCCCTGGATCTCTGGCATCTCTCCGGGGACTATAGTACCGGCCTCAGAGGTAAAGGGACTGGACCTGGGATGTGCTCCATCAAGCCCAGGGCATCAGGAGGGGTCGGCCCTGGCCCCTCGCCTGCCGGAGCAGTGGTGAGGGCTGCAAAGCCAATAAAAAGATGTTTTCCTAGCCGCCCCCATCCGCCCCGGGAAGAGGGCAGTGTGGAGGGATGGAGACTGAGGGTTGATGGGGCTGGCCCCAGGGAGGACTGGCCCTCAGGAGACGCGACGCTGCCCAGCCTCCCTGGCCTCCCTGGTCAGGACCCAGCTGCCTGAGCAAACAGTCCTCAGGCAGGAGTGAGAGGGACGGGAGGAAGGGGGGTCCCAGGGAGCCACCCCATCCCCACCCTCCATCTCTGCAGCCCCAGGCGCCCTCAGACTCTGCGGCTCCTGCTGCCCCCACTCTTCTGGCCCTCGCTCAGCTCAGCTCAGCTAGCGAGGCACTGATTGCCTGTGCCAGAGGCATTTGTGTACGTGTCTGTCCGCCGCCCCCCACGCCAGCTCCCCCGAGCTCAGGCAGAGCTTGACTCCCTGCACCTTGGTGGACCAGATGGTGACATGGGTTTGGAGGCCCGAGTGCAGTGCTCGGGGCCTGCTCCCTGCATGGTTCCTGGGTGCTGGCAGGGTCCCGGGGTCTGACTGGGACACGTAAAGCCTGCAGGTCCAAGGACTGTGGCGGCATGGATGCGCTGGCCACAGACTGAGCACAGACGCCTCAGGCAGAAGGGCGTTTGCTGAGAGATGTGGACCCTTGACTGGGACTTGGAGAATCAGAGAAAGATGGCAGTGCTGCCCTCAGGGAGCTCAATGTCTGGCAGAACCCGCAGAATAACAAACGAGACTGGACTAGGCTTCTCCTGTTCCTGGGAAACAGCACCCAGGCCCAGCGGTGTGTCCCGCGCAGGCGGACAGAGGTGCACAGTGCTCTTCCCAGGAGGACCGAGGGGGCTCTGAACCCGGGGGCAGGCCCCACATCACCCTACTGCTGTGACCCCAAACTCCAGCGCCTACTTAGGCGGTCCCCCATACATGTGATTGGGTGTGGCAGGTGGGAGAACATGTGAAGGACCTCTCGGAAGCTTCCTGCAGTAGGATCAGCGAAAGTACGGAAGGGTTCAGACCAAGGGGGCAGGAAGCTGGAGGAGGGGGCACCCAGCAGCGGGGTGGGGGGCAGAGTGGGTGCGAGTTCACTAGATGGTCCTGAGGCAGAGGGCGCCGTGCAGACGGGCCTCGGGGCCTGCGCAGAGGAGGAGGCTGGTCGGAAGGTCTTCCCCCCCGCCCCAGGCACATGGGAGGCACGCTGCTCAAGCCCAGACCCTCCCAGCTGGAGGACGGGATCCAGTCCCACCATAGGCGCCAAAGGTCTGGGTGACAAGCCTACCACTCTTCCTGAAATCACCACGGCCTCCCAAGTCCCCAGCCTCACCCAGAGGTCTTCTCTAGCCTGCACACGACACAGCGAATTAGGTCATGAGGGGGTCTCACCATCCCTAAAACCAGCAGCTCGAGAACCTGGGGACACTGTTCCCTGGTGCCCCAGGTGACTGTTTGCCTGCTGCTCTGCGTTCTTCTGCACTTGGACTCCGTCTCCTCCGAGGCAGACGGGGCGGGATGGCTCTGTGGCCCATCCCAGCCTGGGTGCCGCTGTGGACAGATGCTGGCCCTCTGCACCCCATCTGTAGGTCCCCTCCTCCCCGCCTGGTCTCGGGAGCTGCTCCACCCACTGCCCTCCTGGTCGGTGCCCCCTGCCCCTTCCTTGCTGCCCTCACTCGCTCATCGGCTCCTGTGTTTCAGCCTGGTCCCTGCCCTCTCTCTATTCCCCTGTGTCTCCTCTCAAGGGGCGTCATGTGCCCCGGACCCCAAGTCCGTTCCCTTCCCTCAATAATCGGCTCCTGAAATCTCACCTTCTTCCAGAAGAGAGTGTTTTCCAGAAGGGACACACGAGCCCGCCTCCCCCTCCCTCTGTGTGAAGCACCACCTGTCAATCTACAAGACGGAAAACACTTCTGCATTCTCTCCTGGGCTGATTCAGTGCTGACTCCATGGGGCTGGTCCCCCGCCCCGCTTCCCCTATCCTTCTCCGAAGGGTCTCGCCACGGCCATGGGGAGGTCTCTTTAAACCATCATCCTGGAACTTACAGATGCTCCCTCCCTCTGCGCTCCCTATTCCTTTCACAGCCCCTGAGTTTCCCATCATCCTCCACTGCAGTGGGAGCACTCGCTGCCGTGGCAACAACCATTCCAGCATCAGTCGATAAAGCCAATACATGCAGATTGCTTCTTCGAGTAGTTCCTAAAAAGAGAGGCTCCTGCCCTGTCACGCACCCCAGCGCCAGTCTGGGGCCCTCCCAGCCTCTGCCCACTCGACAGGATGAGCAGCTGGGCAGGGCCACAGAGGGGCCACGGTGAGGGGCTGTGTGGGGAGGTGGAGGCCCAGCTGGGCGGGAGCGGGTGCGGACGGCGCAGAGGCCGGTGGAGGGAACTGGGCCCTGCCCTGGCTCCAGAGGGGATGTGGAAAGGAGGCTGATTTGCAATCATGATGGCCCCCCCATCTGTCTCCAGGCCCCCAGACCGCTCATCCTCTCCCTCCTATCTGCCACGGCACGGCAGTCTCTGCAGTGAGGGCGGGGGGAGTGGGCTGACGCATCTGCTGACCGCTACCATAGAGCAATTTGAAGAATGGAGACACAGGCACCCAGCCAGGGACAGGCGGGCGGTGTGATGCTCCGTCCCCCACTGGTAACCGGGAGCCACAGGCCCTGCCCCTCAGTCTGAGAGAGGGTCCCTGCTGGGAAGGGGGCTAGGATGCCCCCACCCGACTGACCTTGAAGGGTGACCTTGGGAGAAGAGGGACTCAGGTACGGGAGCGGGCCGGTGAGTCCACACTCAGCTCCTCGCGGGCTGAGGGCCGAGCAGAGGGGGCGTTCTGCCGACTCCTGCGCCCACTGTTGCGGGACCTGGGGGGCCAGCCCCACCTTTCAGGGGCCCTGCCATCCCTGTGCTGAGCTCATCCCCTCCCAACTCCCCCGCCTTTGTGGAAAGCCCTCCAGCCACTGATGCCCACGTCCTTCTGCCCTTGTCTCTGCTGTGTCACCCCACCCCGTGTCCTTCCCCCTCAGCAGGGGCTTTCTGAGCGTCCAGAACACACCCGAGGGCAGGCTGGAGGCCGCTCGGTGCGGAGTGGAGTCTCATCTGCCGATGGACAGCCAGCCCCCGCCCCTCACGCCTGCCCAGTGCCTCTGAAGGCAGCCCTGACAGGCGCTGGGATGGGCCGGGGGCACAGCAGACAGAAACGTGTCCTCCTGGGATGGCCAGTCAAACAGGAGGAACAGGCGACAGGCCGGAGGCTAGCTACTGAGAAGTGCTGAGGAGAAGGAACAGACTCGGGATGGGGTGCGTCAAGCAGCTGAGGGCGGGAGGCGAGCGTGTGACTGGGTGACCCAGGGAGGCTGAGCTGAGGAGGCATGTTTGAGGAAAGATCCAGAGAGAGGGCTCAGTCTCTGGGTGTCTGGAGAAGACATTTCCAGGCAGTGGCAACAGCCCATGAAAGGCCCTGAGGCAGGATGTGCCTGGTGTGTCTGGAGCACTGAGGGATCAGAGGCACGTCTGATGGAGAGGAGGACAGGGTCAGGGTCAGGACGTGATGAAGCCACGGTGGTCACCACTCAGCTTTGGCTCAGTGAGGTGGGAGCCCTGGCAGGCTTGGGGCAGAGGACCTGCATGGGCAGCTCCCCTGGGGAGGGTGCCATGGCTTCTGGGCTGGGCTTCCGGGCAGACAGGGCTGCAAAAATTGAGGGGAGGGAATACAGTGGCTCGGGGCGGGCGGGCGCCTGGGCAGTGGGGAGGAGTGGCCGACTCTGGGCACGCGCTGAAGCCGTGGGAGTCGCCGCTGGAGCAGAAGCGGGCATGTAGAAGAGAGAGGGGCCTAGACCACTCCGGGGACTGCGGCCTGCGTGGCTCTGGGCGCGGGGCTGCCGTGAGTCAAGGTCAGGAAGCCCTGGGGAGAGGACTAGGCCCTCTGTTCCCTAGCCTTTCCTGCAGCCTCAGGCCTTCCTCTGCACGCCTCTCCTGACTCCCCACGCACTTTTCTGCAGCCGATGTGATAATTTCCTGGCATCCCGTCAGCAGCCTTCATCCACCCGTCTGTGATTCCCGAGGATCCACCCTCGGCTGCTGTACCGACCATGAGCTTTTCCCAGAACCCACT